TGAGTCCTTCCTGCAAGTCTACAAGAGCAACGTCCCTCGTCAGCTATTCGCATGGGCCACTATCCTGCCAGATGTGGGGTACGGGGAGTGTCGAACTGGATATTTTATCAACACTGGAAATCAACAGCAGTGCGGTGGACGAAGCCAGAAGCTGAGGACAGCTTCACTGCTGAGGGGGAGGCACTGTGGCGTCGGATCGGGGCGCAGACATGTTGGACCACCAGGCCTCAGCCAATCCCGTGTCTCTCTGCGATCCAATGGCATGCGAGGAAGATAACAGCCAACCAGAAAAGGACACAGCTGAGGAGTAGTATATGATGAGTATTGCGGCCAGCGTGGTGGACTCGGATGAAAGGCGCCTGATGTGTGGGTCTGACTTCTGATTGGTCAATAAAGCCTGTTCTGTGTACCGGTCTTTTACCTATTGGGGCTCGGGTATTCTACAGTGTGGTGTGGTATCTGCGGATCGACGGACCAGGGCGTAGATATATTGAACCACTTGGCCTCAGCCAATCCTGTGTCTCTCTGCGCTCTAATGGCACGCGAGGATGATGAAAAGCCAACCGGAGTATGACACAAATGAAGTGCAGTATATAATGAAGAGTTTGCGTGAGTAGTGGGTTATTAAATAGTGTGCAAAAGTCCGAGTATCCAACCACCTCATGAGTTTGCCCCTCTGTAAAAACCAAGCCGGAACTAGAATGCGGACATGAGGAATCGGGGCCGACTTTGCAAGCAAACCCCTTGTCCACAATGGAACGTAACTCTGATACTAGAGACCGATATCTGTATTTTGTACAAATGAACCCGTGTAACAGTCCATACGCCATTTATGATGCCCAGGCACTTTGCTAATGGCTGCAGCGTTCCGTTCATTTCCGTTCTTCTAGTCTCCGAGATACAAGATGATTTCGATATGTGGCTTGCAAACATTTAAGATATTCTGAGCATGGTTGATCCTGATCGCTGCACAACGTGGAAACTGAGATTCTTATCTAACCGATTTCTCTAAAGAGTCCGCAGAGCAGTCTGTACTCCTGAGATTCCCTACGAAAACCTTACGTAGATGTCGAGGGATGATTTGTTGCCCCGCCTAGAGAGCCTATTTGTTATGGGAGATAGGGAAGAAAAAGTTTCGCTACGCGAAGACCGTAAAGTGTCTTGTGGTTGAGCTATACGATATAGTCTCCAATAGTGTGTCGGCGAAAGTCCGACGAGACAATAACGCAGGAGGCAGTGAAATACGTCATTTTGGGCCTTACGGCAGTTTTAGGTACCTCATCTAATGTCCCTTGGCAGAGGTCGAAGAAATCTTCCAGGATACAATTCTGACTCAATTGTCTTTGTCGTTTGCCGTCAACAAACATGGCAGCCGCAAGGAGGTCAAAGATTCCACATAATGGGAGGTTCAACAGGACATTGACCTCTTAAACCTGCATGAAAGCAGCTGAGAATTGCGGGTGTATTTGTTTAATGCCCGCTATGTATGCATCATGGCTATGTAGTAAAGTCTTTACATCTGTAGGTTTACACAACAGAATGATGCCTTTTTTAGTCGAAATGGAGGCTGGTTGTTCTCTTGTTTCTTCGACACGCGTTTGACCCTTATCTAGCGGCATCCTCTATGAGAGTTAGGACCGCTAATAGCCCTTCTATGCGCAGCGACGGCTGTATGGACGTGCTACTTGCCATAACAGGAAGTGAGCATTAACAAACTCTGCATCTGTGGACAGATATATCATTTGACAGAATAGTGGGATTTGACTTCCTAGATCGTTACACGAGAGTATATAACCGACCATGGGTTTGCTTACGTCTAGGTTTGCATGAAGTGTCTGTCACGAACGAACAAAGAAATGGCGTCATTGCAGATGTTACACAGCTAGGAAATCCGTCTGTGGAAGAGTTAGATCTGTAGTGGGTCCCGGTACAATTTTGGGAAACACACCGAGGCCGGCGATATTCACTAAAAAGACCCGACCGAAAGAAAAGTGGGAAAATGCAAATGGCGCGTAGCTCAAATTATTTATTGATGCCATAACTGCGTGGGTTTTTGCAGGATAACAAGTGCGTTTATATACCTTCACCAAGCATTGATCTCTGAAGGCATGTAGTTGCGTGAAGTGCACTCACATAATTCGAATTAATCGTGTTGGCTCATGCTTGCCTACTGAGTGTGCTCACGACTTCTAACTGTGCTTACTTGTTGCTCGCTGCAGATCTCTTAGTAGGCACAAATGTACTCACCGATGATTCAGATAGACCGAAGCCTCGCAGTTTGATTAATGAATTTGTGGATCTTTTTGCTTGGGATAGGTACGGTCCCGGCCGCACGAGTGTCTCCTGTTTTGACAATCACACAACAGACACACACCCCATTAAACAAAGGCCCCGTCCAATACCTGCTGCATATTAGTAGGCAGTCGACGAGGCTATTAAAGAGATGCCACAGAAGATAATCATGAAACCCTCCGTTTGCTCCTGGGCATCACCCATCGTTGTTGTTAAGAAGAAGGATGGTTCTATTAGGTTATGCATGGATTACCGCAAGCTTAACGAAGTTACGATAAAAGACATTTCAAAGTTTTATGAACACTTTGTCGCAAGGCTTAATACCAAAGGAGTGCCTTGTATATATGGATGACGCAATAACACCATAAGCGTGTTTGACACCTTAAGCGTATGAGAAATGTGTTTGGGCGGCTTTGCGGGGCAGGGCTGAAGCTTAACCTGGCCAAGTGTTTGCTCCTCATGGATTCGGTTAAATTTCTGGGCCACATTGTCTTAAATACCGGAGTCTACGGACGTTGTAGCTGCAATTTTATCGAACAGAGTACAGTCGAGAATTAGGGTGCAGCACGAACAGAAGACTTCCACATAAGCCTTATATACGATAGACAGCGTACGAGCTTCCCCAAGACGACCAATAGAGAAATGGCCGGTATCACTCAGGAGGCACATGTTCTTTGACCTGTGTAGAATAATCTTAGTTTCCGGGAAGGCGTTCTAAATTATAGACATGGGTCATCATAAATTTTGCGTGTGGTTATACCCAGGGCCGCTGTAGACTTAATTATCCGATCTGCAAGTTAGTCTGGGTCATCTAGGTCCAGCAAAAGTTGAGCAGGCTGCGCATCGACATTACTGGTGGCCTGCCATGCAAGAGGTTATCAACGACATCTGTGCAAACTGTAATCGATGTGGGTAAGTGAAGGCGCCATCTCGTGCGGCAAATGCACCACTCCAACCCATGACAGCAGGATTTCTAAATGAGTTAGTTAGGCTAAAACTCATGGGTCCTCATCCTTTAAGAGGCGAGCGGATACCTGTTTATCCTGATTATGGTGGAGTACTTTACCAAGTGGGCTAATGCAATACCCCTGTTAATGGCAGATGCCGCGTCGGTAGCAGATCACAAGGTGCCAGATTTGGATTCAGTTTAAAAACTTACTGCTTCTAGAGTTGTTTGATGTTTCAGGCACCCATAGAAGTTGCACCACAGCCTATCACCCTCCAGGAAATGGTCAGGTAGAAAGGACAAATAGGACAAACAAGACACTTCTAAGTTTGCGTCTTGATAAATATGGGTAGTAGCTTGGGTTTTAGCACTACCTTACAACCCTATAGTTAACAGCCTGCAACAACCTTAAAATAAAGTAAAGAGAGGACAGAGGACACGAATATTTATTAGCATCACGGCAGTTAAGTACGTTTCTTTGTGTGTGGATGAGTAAGCAGAAAACGAAGGTCTAATAACAGTAACAAATGAAAAGGATATGAGTCATTTTCACCGTCAGGTCAGTAAACAGAGTCCACTTAGGCGCGGTCGCTGTTAATCTGCAACATATGCGCTTTACCAGTGTAGTGAGACTTCGCCAACTTGCCTTCTGGCGTGTAGGTCTGCTGTGCACTCGTCCACAGGCTTGAGTCCAGTTGATATGACTTTTAGGCATCAGTTTAGGTTACCAGCTGAAGTAAAGTTGCTCCCATCCCGTGAGGCCTAATACAGATGTTCTTCCGAGTACGTTGCTGATCTATGATGGCAGCTTTGCCGACCCTTCGAAAAGGTTCAATCGCATTTAGTTCTAGCTCACAAAGGCTAAAAAGACCACCATGGCAAAGAGGCGAATAGTACGCCAGTTGAAGAAGGTGACCTGGTCTGGTTAGCTATACCTAATACCGCGGGAGAACCAATGGCGCACAGTGGAGGCGGCACAACGTGAGAAGTTGCGTGATTTCCGATTGCGTGGAGCAGTGAGGTTTCGAATTGCATGCCAAAGCCCGAGTATCTCTGGGGGTTCAACATTTCCCATGACGGCTCATCGTGGGTTAGGATTTCGTCATTGTTTACAAAATTAATCGAATCACGCCACTCCAGTGGGTAAGTCACTCACGGCACCGTAACTATTGCTACATCTGTGTTAATCCGCTTCATTCATCAGGTCAAGGTCATTCCTGACTTAAATAAGTGGATGCATTCAGACAGATCACTGGATCTTTCGGCTGAGGCATTAAAAGCTCTTTGCACGAGGCCCTGACTTGTCTCGCATTAGCGTAGGAGGGTCCACGCAACTTTCACCTTATAGTGTAGCGGAATGGCTGACATTTACCATATTGGCACTCAGTCATTGGTCAAAAGTAATCAGCACTTCGTGGTGATGGCGTCATGTGACCGGGAGCACGACTTCCGGCAGCGTGGCGTCAAGTTGGCATTGAACTATGGGCTGGAGACTGAGAGCCAATCCGCTCATGAGTTTTGCGTCTCGCTTACAGTGCCGCGGAACGGACAAACGGAAGAACATGACTACCAGCACAAGGGTAATATAAACCAAGTTTTCCCCCTGACCATCGACCAGTTTGTGACTTATTTCAGCCTTTATTAACGGACTCCATTTTGCCTTGCTCTTTTCTTGACTATACCACAGGGCCGAAGCATACAATACTGCTCCTCATTGGCGTCTTTCTCTGGTTGGGTGCTTAACTTCCTCGCATGCCATTTGAACATAGAGAGACACTGGATTGGCTGCGGCTAGGTGATCCAACATGTCTGCGTCCTAATCCGACGCCACACTGCCTCCCCCCCAGGAGTGAAGCTTTCGTCAGCTTCTGGCTTGGTTCACTGCACTGTTGTAGATATCCAGTGTTGATAAAATATCCAGTTCGACAATCCCCGCACCCCACATCTGGCAGGTTAGTGGCTCGAGCGAAAAGTTGACGAGGGACTATGCTCTTGTAGACTTGCTA